CCACTTCCCTGCTTCCACTACACCCTGTGCCCTGTGTCCCCATATCCACGCGTCTCCCATGTCCATCCATATCCCCATATCCGGCCATCTCACTGTCCCTTGGTCCCCCTACTCTTCATGTCCCTTTATGCAGGATCCTTTGCGTCCCGTGTCCCCATATCCCAGTGTCACGCTGTCCCTTGCGTCCATCTGCCCCTGTGCGCCCCCTTCCTTATTTCCCCAGGGCCCTGCTGTCCCATATCCTTGTGTCCCTTATGTCCCCTGTGGCCCGTGTCCCCACTCCCCACGCGTGTCCCCCGCGCTGTCGCCTTGTCCCCGCAGGGTCAGGGGGGGACACGGGCCCGCCCGCCGCGGAGCCTCCAGCACAGGGGGCGCCCTGGAGCCGCTGAGCCGCTCTGGCCTGCGCCTTTGTAGCTCTATGGTCTCTTGGGAACGAACCAAGCCGGGGAGAGGGGAATCCGCGGACTCGCAACGGCGATTCCACCGCCGAGGGCGCCCCGCGGCCGGGAACGGCACCGAAAGGGCAAAATGTTACCGGAATCAAGTTCAGCGTGATGAAACCCAGAGGTGATGGCCGGAAGAGCCGCTCCGGTGGCCGGGGGTGTGTTCTGACCCCCCGCGCAGATGGGATGATCCACTTCCCTCCTCCGCGCCGTCAGATGGTCGGGCCCGGGCGGTGAGTGGGGCCCGGGGCCGGGGCTGAGGGGACCCAGCGACCGAGGGGGATCCGGGGCCTCGAGCCTGGGGGGAGCCTGAGGAGCTCCGTGGGAGACTGGTGGGCTCGGGCCGGGATGTCTGGACCTGTGTGGTGCATTGGGGGGGCCCAACCGGGACTCCCCGGACCCCTGTGAGGTGGGGGTGGGCCCGTACCGGGACACCCGGGTCCCTCTGCGGTGTTGGATCCCTGAGGGGACCTGTCAGTCTGGGACACCTCCCTGAGGTTTGAGGGGACCAGGTCAGGACATCTGTGTTTCTCTGGGTTGTTAGAGGCTCAAGGCAGGACATCTGGGTCCCTGTGGGACACTGAGGGGCCTGTACTGGGACCGTGGGACCCTTGTGAGGTGGCGGGCACGCACTGGGACCCCCCCCG